TACAACTGTAGCAATAATAACATTAACTGTGAATGGATTCCAATCAAAAGTCAGAGATTGTCCGACTGGATAAAAAGAATCAACTATGTGCTGTTTACAGCAGACATACTTTAGATTCAAGAATATCAACAGATTGAAAATAAAAGGATGGAAAATGTGTCTGATGCACACAGCAAGCATAAGAAAGCTAGAAGGGTTTATACTCGTATCAAAGTAGACTATAAAGCGAAACTACCAGAGATAACGAGAGACGTTATATAATGATAAAAGGGTCAATCCAGACATATTTGTACCTAATAAAAGAGCCCCAAACTATATAAAGCAAAAAGGGATAGAATTAAAGAGAAAAACAATTGGGCAGTAATAGTTGGAGAATCCAACACCTGGCATTCAGTAATGGTTTGGAAAAGTAGGCAGATTAGCAAGGATATAGAAGACTTGAACAACACTCTCGAAGCAATCAGACCTAACAAACATCCTCACACTCGTTCAACAGCAGCAGAATATACACTCTTCAAATACACACGGAACATTCTCTAGGCTGGACCATATGCAAGGCCATCAAAAAAGGCTCAATACATCTAACAGGATTGAACCCACACAAAATGCGTTTGCTAACCACAGTGGAATGAAACCAGCAGTCAATAACAGAAAGAAATTTTGGAGATTTACAAAAATGTGAAAATTAAACAACACATAAATCACCAATGGGTCAAAGAAAAAATCGCAAGGGAAATTAGAAATAAGGGTTTAGAACAAAAGTCAACTACATTTTTTTAAAGAGCCAGAACAGAGGAAGCATCTGTCCCTCAGCTAAACTGTGATAAAGGAACAACAGAAGGTTGTTCCCACACTGCCACTTACCTGAATCATGTTCAGCTGTTTCATTAACTCCTGCCGGCGAGAAGAACAAAAGCATTACAGCAGGTGCACACTCTTGCCAAACAGCTTAAAATCATTCATGTATTCCTAAGTCTTGGCATTTTTTTCTCTCTTGCCAATAAATTAATAGTTTATTAGTCAACAATATTGCACATATTTTAAAAATTCCTTAATATAAATAGTTCATAGGAAATGATTCCATTTCACAGCTAAATTACCAGTACAACATACTGGATATTTAAACACCTGGAACTTAATAATATAAAATATTTAGCAAAAAAATTAACCTGAAGGTGTTTAGTCTCCCTAAAAAGATAAGTTTTCTTTTCTACTTAGAAAAGCAAAAAGACTTTACCACCCCATCAGGAATATAAAACACTGAAAATATTAATTTGCGTATCACAGAACCATTTATAATTACAATCCAATCACTCCGTAAACCACTTGTAAAATTCTATGCAGACGCTGGGAATAAGAAACTAGTTGCTTTGATAATACAAAGATTTCAGCTCCAAAAATAAGTCAATGTAAAATATGCTTTAGCAATTATATTTCCACATAAAAATATGAATATTAAATGTTATTCCATAATTTTACTATGGTTAAATTAAAATCCATGCCTACAATGGAAATTTGCTTGAAGAAAAGTCTCCCCTTGTTAGTAAAACACTATCCAAAGTAACTATGAATACAATAATTTACAATACTACAAAGATTTCTGGATTTATAAAACAGTTGCAATGACAAAGCTGAGGTTTTTGTGGTCGTTATGCAGCATTATTGTGGCAACAGATAACTGATACATCTGCTCTGTGAACCCTTCTTTGACTTCTTGCAGCAGAATGGCCTAGTTTTTAACATACGGGACCTCTAGTAGTGAACTCTCTGTAAGCAGCTAACAACACACGCTGTGTTCTCCTCTCCTGAGCCCCTTTATCTCTTTTCCAAAGCACACCACTCAGTTCTCCACTCACCTGAGATCTGGGCCCTGGGACTTCTGTTTTCATCAGAGGCCCATCGTAATCAAACTCAACATCGACTTTGGCTGCGGCTTGACTGATCTGTCTGGATCCTGCAGTAAACAAAGACAGTGAGAACCCCTGGTGATGGCAAATATGAGGATTCTGCCCTAACAGATGCCCACTGTCGCTAACAGAGGTGGTGCCAGGACCTTGACCCTTCCCAGCCAGACCACCCCAGAACACTGGTCTGGACAGACCTGGGGCACTATAAGGACCCGCGGATTTAAAAAATGGGAAAACCCAGTGTCAGTGAAGTTGTAGGCAAACAGGCATGCTCCTGTTTTATTGGCGTGAGTGTAAGCTCATGCCAACCTCCTAGTCCTTTCTACTGAGCAATTTTGTTATTTAGGATTCGTCCTGAGAAAATAATGGGAGCCATGTACAAAGATGTAGGTCAAAAATATTCATTATAGTAGTGTCTGTAAAAGACCAAAGAGGAAACAACCTAAATGCCTAACACTGGAGGATAGCTAACTAGAATATGACATAGTCAACCATTTCATGGAGTATTATACAACCATTGTTTTGAGATCAAAATTTTGAATATTTATGGACATGGGAAGATGCCCATGGTGTTAGCACGTGAAAGATCAGATTGTAGAAATTATTTAAATTTAAAAATTTAATCTATATCCCAATGTCTATAAAGACCTGAGTTTCTCAACCTTGACACTATTGACACTTTGGGCTGGATAATCCTTTGTTGGGGGCGGTTGTGGGGGGGCGTTGTCCTCTGCCCTGTAGGATGTTTAGCAGCATCTTTGGCCTCTGCTCACTAGATATCAGCAGCACCACCCCCAACTGTGAGAATCGCAATCACCCAGGAGGGAATAAAATTTCTAAATTCAGATGGCCCCCCACTTAATTGATGTTTTCTGTTTTAAGAACAGTTTTGGTCACAAGTCATTTATTTGAAACTCATTTCACACTATTTTGCATAGGAATAATTTATAGAGTGTGTTTGGGGTTCCAGGTTAGCCCTATGAGGCTTTTTAGATCAACATGTTGCTGAGACACAGAAGGCGGTGTCGATCAAGCCCACGCCCCGCTGACCCCTGAGCGAAAGGTCTGGTGAATCCGAGACAGCGTGTAAGGATTTACAGTCAGTCACCTCTACAAATCCCTTTAATGTCTCTGTTGATCTTTTAGCTTCCTGGTGCTATTTGCTGATCGGGAAATGTTAGTTCCTCTTACTAAGATTGCCATAATTATATCAAACTAGAGAATCGGTAGACGCTTCATATAAATCACATACGTGATCACATTTCATCATTATTTGCATCCATAACTTTGTCTCCGTTACACAAGAGAGGACACGGGCCAAGAAAAGTTAAGAAATGTGCCGCGATCTCACACACACACACGAATATTGTCAAACCATGCAAAGTCGAGACATCAGGAAACATTTAAATTCACTCTTGATTTTCCATAATTGCATTAAATCAAAGGTTTCTGAATTAATTCTGTAATATAGTGTAGCCTTTTGAACATAAAGTCCAGCTAAAATACAGCACTATACTTATTTAAGACATGAAAAAAACAGGGTGTTTTTTTTTTCTCTTTGATCTTAAAAAGGGAATTCCTAAAGAGTTTGTGTGATTAGAAGAGAGTTAAAGGTCATAGAACATACGGATGACTTTTTTACACTAAACTGTTTATCTCTTCCTTGGCCAGAACTCCGGGTTGACAGACAACATTGATTCCAACTAGACCTCATAACACAGGGATGCATATTTTTGATAAAAATGCTTCTTCACTGGTACAAATCTTGCTTTTTTCCAGCAAAGGGGTAAAAATGAAATTTTTGAAATTAGCAAGCTCTCCCTAGGTGAGGACACACAAGTCCTTTCTTTTCTCCAGAGAATGTCTTGGCATTGCATCGCAGCAATCAGATCTCTTGGGAACAGTGGCAAAGGAGGCAGTTCGCAGCGGGCGCTGGGGCTGAACAGACCCTGAGAGAAATGACAGGGAGCACGCTGGGTCAGGTGGCACTACAGTCAGGGGCTGTTGAGACCATGAGTGGACAGGAGCTAGGACGCAGGAAGAGGTGGAGAGAACCGGCCAGCTGGGAGCCAGGACCAGCCCTGCCCGAGACAGCCGAGGACCGGGTGCAAGGTAGAGGGGTCTGTTCCCACAACTGCATCGGCTCCCTTCCTGCGCCAAGACTCTGAGTGACGGAGGGAGGAGGGCAAAGGACTGCAGAGCAGAGGTGCTGAAATCAGAGCCCGATAAGACTGTTGGCAACTGCGCAATCAGAAACGGGAAAGTGGGGAGATTAACACATATTCAGCCCTTGCTATGTGCTAGGTAGGTCCCACCCAGACAAACTCCCTTCTAGTTTTTTAATTAATTTACAACATCTTTGGGAAATAGGTATTGTTGTTTTCATTTTACAGATCAGCATCAGAGAGGTTAAGTGATTTTGCCAAGGTCACACAGCTAGTGAGTTGCCCAGCTAAGATTGGAACCTGGGCCCATGCAACACCAATATTTCTTCTTCCTTCTATACCTTGATTTTGGCTTTTCTAAAAAGAGAAAAATAACCAAATACCATTATAATGAACATTTTCTTAATGATGATATATAATGCCACAAATCACAAGAGAACAGAAAAAAAATTGCGCCTGGCTAATTTTTTTTTTTTTTTGAGACAGAGGTCTCACTCGTTGCCTAGGCTAGAGTGCTGTGGTGTCAGGCTAGCTCACAGCAACCTCCAGCTCCTGTTCCCGGGTAGCTGGGACTACAGGCACACACCACCATGCCCGGCTAATTTTCTTTTTTCTATATATTTTTAGTTGTTCAGCCAATTTCTTTCTATTTTTTTAGTAGAGACGGGGTCTCGCTCTTGCTCAGGCTGGTCTCGAACTCCAGAGCTCAAATGATCTGCCCGTCTTGGCCTCCCAGAGTGCTAGGATTACAGGCATGAGCCACTGCGCCTGGCCTGGCTAATTTCTTAAAAATAATTTTTTGTAATCTTAGTGCTCTGGGAGGCTGAGGTGGGAAGACTGTTTGACCAGGAGTTCGAGACCAACCTGAGCAAGAGAGAGACACCGTCTCTAGTTAAAACAGAAAAAATTAGCCAGGTGTGGTGGTGCATGCTATAGTCACAGCTACTCAGGAGGCTGAGGCAAGAAGATCACTTGAGCCCAGAAGTTTGAGGTCTCAGTAAGCTACGACGACACCACTGCACTCTAGCCCAGGTGACACAGCAAGACTGTCTCGAACACTAAACTAAAATAAAAAAATTTTTTGTAGAGACAGGGTCTCGCTATGTTGCCCAGCCTGATCTTGGACTCCTGGGCTCAAGCGATCCTACCACCTCTTCCTCCCAAAGTGCTGGAATCACAATGTGAGCCACTGCACACAGCCAATTTTCTTGGATCTGTTATATCGAGTCACACGAGCAAATGTCCAGTGTGCATTGAGCACTTATGATGAACATACCAGGAATTATCCTGAGCGATTTACATGGCTTATCTCATTTAATCCTCATAGCTAAATGTTATCATTCTCTTATTATAGAAGAAGACATTGAGGCTCAGAGAGGTTAATTAATTTCCCCAAGATCACACAGCTAGCAAGTGGTTAAACTAGAAGTTTGCCCACCCAACCTCTTCCCTAGATGCTGTGAATGTGCTTGATGCTATCTTTGATTTTATCTAGTGCTGGCCTTTGAATGGAACGTTTGCAGCAAAACACCTTGCTTCTCCTAAAGGCAGATTATTATCAAAAGAACAGAGATGCAGGAAAAAAAAAAAGATGGAATGATCTAGCATTTTCATTCAAGAATAAAATAGCAAGCCCAGAAGGCCAGGGTGTTTCATTGACACAGAAGACTGGACATACTGGGTAAACCATCATTGTCATGACCTTCATGGCCACACCAATCCAAAGAGTCTATTTTTAACTCCAAAGTATAAAGCAGCAAGCAAACATTTTTAATGTTCTCTTGATATTTACACCGAGAGTAATAAACGAATGCCATGTTCCCAATCAGCAAAGGTTCCTTAGGTGAACCTGGCCGAAGCCAATGTAAAGCCCAACTGGAGTTGTTTGCCCTGCTTTTCTGCTAAAGAAAAAAATCCGATCTGCCCCTGAGACTGTCCTTCCCATTTATTTTTGATAACATGCTCATTGAGGAAGAGACCAATTAGCAACATGGAAAAAAACTCACTTTCAATTTTCTAGCCAGAGATAACCATTTTGATGTCTGGTCTCCCAGTCTCTTACCTTATTTACCAATATAAGATTATAATTGGGGGGGGGCATGAAAGATGCCATTGGGAACATTATCTCAGGCCTTTGTCATGTTTAATGGCTTCATAGTGACTCGATGGGTGGAGGGACCCCCGGGACGTGGATGTGGTAGCAGGCTGTCCCTTCCGTGTTGGGCACCTGCTCTTGCTCTGAAGAAGCAGTTGCCGCTTGTGAGCTGCCCTGCGAAGGGGTCCACACATCAAGGAACTGAGAGTAGCTTCTGGCCAACAGACTCTAAGGAACTGAATCCGGCTACAGCCATCTGAGTGACCTTGGAAGTGGGTCCTCCAATCCCCAGTTGAGCCTTCAGATGAGACCACAGCTAACAGCTTCTCTGTGCCCTCAGGACAGACCTGGAGCCTGAGGATCCAGCTAAGCCACCCCTGGTTTCCAGATCCCAGAAACTGCGAGATAACAAATGTATTATCTTAAGCTGCTACGTTTTGGGGGCATTTGTTACGTGGCAACAGATAACCAATACAGTGGCGCAGGTCCTGGAGCCAGACTGGCTTCGCCCAATGCCTCGCTCAGCCAGTGGCTGGCTCTGTGACTCTGGAAAGTTACTTAATTTCTCTAGGTCTATGGTACAGAAAGTGTTCAGGACTAAATGGGTTTAAAATAAGCATTTAACCGTCATTTCTAAGCCATTCCCCTGTTGCTACTTATACTAGATATGCCAAATTGAAAAGCCAAAAGAAAAGAAAAAAAATTCACTGTATGGCTGTCTAAATCTGGCACAAGTGGGCCAAAAAAGATCCAACTCCAGCCAATAAAATAGAGAGGAAAGGAACTCTGTGATTTAGCCATTTCCTTTTTTTTCTTCTTCTGCATCGCGCTTCTATTTCCATGCTTGCAAAATGTGAGTGAGGATACTTCCCACCTTCGTAAACATAAACCAAGTGCTTTCGCTTCCGATGCAAGAAATTTGTGAAACAGGAAGGATATTATTATCTCCACTTTTCTGCTTGCTGAGAAAACTGAGGCTGGAGACGTCTCTTGGAGAGGCTCAGCTGGCTGACAGGAGGTGAAGCCAGTAGCCTAACTGTATGAGTCTTAATCTACTGCTCTTTCCACGTTGTCTACTTGGGAGGACTCAGATGTCCCTCAGAATGGCCTTCAAACGTGGTGCCCGTGTGCTGCCAGGCTCGTGCTCCACAAGAGCCATGTCTCTCTCCACTGGTCCATCCTTGGCACCCAGGCACAGCGCTTGGCTCGTGGCAGGTGCTCAACAGCATTCACTACGGAACGAACGCGTCTTCCCCACCCAGGGCTCTCTCCGACTCGGAACTCGCTATTCTTGCATCTTTCCGGTTCGGGTTTATTTTAAGCTAATTACAAGTAAACGTTGATATGCTTCTCTCATAAACAAAACAAAAACAAAACCTCCAAAGCTGTTCCTAACTCCTCAACACTACCAAGGTCAAGAAGAATCGGACTGAGAAGCTGTCACAGACCAGAGACCAGGGGAACGTGACAGGTAGACGCAATGGATCCTGGGACAGAAAAAGACATTGAGGGAAAAACTAGTGAAATGTGAACAGAAGCCAGGAGTTTGGTTAATAGTAATAGTAAACCAGGGTCAGTTTCTCAGTTTTGACAAATGCGTCGTGGTGGCGGTAAGATGTTAACAATGGAGGAAAACTGGTGAGTGCCATATGGGGTCTCTCTGTACTATCTTTGCAACTTCTGACTAAATCTAAAATTATTCAAAAATAAAATGTTTATTTTAAAATAAATCCTGGGAGTGGGAAAACTCTCCTACTCTTTATCCCACTCAGGACATAAACACCAGCATCCAACAGGTAAGCCAAGGACATGGCTAGCAGGTTGTCTTCAGAAGGCAGACGTTTCTGACAGCAAGGGGACAGCACGGTGACAAGCACGGGGTCTCCGAGAGAGCTGGGGACAGACTGGAGGCTCACTGGTCTTTCTGAGCCTGTTTCATGGCCAGGCCAGAGCCAAGACTGCTCATGTCTCTGCAGGAGGCCAATCTCGGGGTGTCCAAAGGGAGGTTTCTGTTAGCCACACTCCGTGCCAGAGCAGCATGGGGGTACATTGAGGGGGCCTAAAAACTCAGCATTTGGAGACAGACAGGCTTGCATTCAAGAGGCTGTGTGATCTTGGGCAGATAACTTTGCTTTTCCGAGACTCAGTTTTCTCACCTATAAAGTGGTATTCACTAGAGCCTCCCTTGTGGCACTAGGGCAGGGAGGTCTCGCGGAGGTCATGCGATCGGGGCTCACTTGGCTACGCTGCCAAGTCCCACTCCTGGGACGGTGCCTCCTGACAGTGCCCATGAAGCACAGCTGGCCTTTAGGTCAATTACAGAGACTGTTGTTGGCCGCGACCCCAGCTGTGTGTTTTCTCCAGCAGTTCCTGTGAGGATGGCCTGGGCCCTTCTGGCTGCAGAGGCCACCACCTACCCGCAGGCAGAGCGGCTCTGGGATGGATCAGCTCCCTTCCCTCTGCAGAGCTGTCCACCAGGGACAAGAGCACATGGCGGACATGGGCGATGGGAAGGGGGTGGCCATGGTGGCAGTTTTATGGGCGACAGTGGCACAGCTCCAGAGGTACTGGCCGGCCGGTCCCTTTATCCCCAAGGACTCTTCCAGCCCAGGAATCCCCAGTCTGGATTGTGTCTCCCATCAGGACCTATTCTCGCCAAGTCCCCCGGGGCTTACCTGGCACCAGCAGGCAGGAGTTGTGCTGGAAAATGCAGGCCAGCCGCCGGGCGAGCAGCATGGAGGCCATGACCCCTTCCTTCAGGCACCGAAGCCCCTCCCTCTCTGCCACTCTGAAAGAGACCAGAAACACAGACTCAGGCCCGTGAAGACCACTCCCCAGCCAGCCAAGTGTCCCTCCCCGACCATTTCCCCACCTAACGGAGAAGATTCTTTGACATCAAATCCTTGGCTTTTATGCTGAATACAAAGAGTATATTTAACCAAAGAGTATATTATAACAAACATATACTTTAAAGCACATGCATTTTCAAGTAACTTTGACCGCACCAGGACTGTCACACCCATTTAAATGGGAAAACCAGAGAAAGGGACAGAGTTGGTTTGAGATCCCCCTGGAAGCGAGAACAAGCCTGTGCTCCCTGGGATGGAAGGACTCAGACAGGAGAAACCTTGCGGCAAACCTCATGGCAGCCACTGGATGTGGGGAGTCGTGGTTCCCTCCGTTCTGTTCTCCCACAGAATACAGTCACGGGGCTGGGCTATCTGGGGAATCCGCAGCAGCCAGTGGGGTGCCTGGTGGCCCACTCTGGGGGTGCAGAGCCCAGGCACCACCAAGCGTCCCTTTCTGCTCAGGACTGCGAGGTTCCAGGATGTGGGACTTTCCATTGTGAAACCGGGACGGGCCCAGGCAAATTGGGACGGCCACCTCCCACAAGCCCAGAGCGTCGGGGCCCTCGGCCCCAATTTCACACGTGTGCTCATCCTCTCAAGCCTCTTCCGCATCTCGCCCTCACATCCCTGGGCCCTGGCTCCTGCCGAGGTTTGTTGAGGGCCCAGAGCGCCCCCCACCCAACGGTTTGTTTCCTTCCACGGCCTCTCCCACTCCATGCCCCTCTCCCCAGGCCACCGTCCAAATGCGTTCTCTGAGGATCTTTCTGCTAAACACCTGTTTTGTTATGTGGCGTGTGCATCTGTAGTTTACATAAATAGCACCATATCACAGAACAGTGACGGGACCATTCGTGTGTCATTCTCCTTTGTGGACCCCGTTTCCTGAGTCCTGTGTGCCACGCACTGTATATACCGTACTATTAATATTTATTACTCTTATTGTTAACACCCACAACAATGCTACGTGGTCTCCTTTTTACAGATAAGAAAACCGAGGCACAGAGAGGTTAAGGGGTGCATCCGAAAACCACACAGATCTGTGTGACTCCAGAGTCAGCCAAGTCCTCCACCACAGATACGAGTCCCAACACTCCACAGAAGTCCGTCCATTCATTCTGCAACGCACTGGGCACCAACGTACCGAGTACCGTTTCCCAGGCTGGACAAACAGGGGTGAATGCCACAGGCATGGACGCAATGTGCCCACGGGAAACAAAGACAATGAAGTGAGTGATTAACACAAACAAGGGCAAAATATGGTTGGAGAAAGTGCCCCGAAGGTCAAGTAGGAGGTGCTAGGAGCATGGTTTGTCAAGCCCCTTCTATGTGCTGCAATCTCAAGAACATGTACAGCAGGCGTGATTATCCTCATTTTACAGATGAGGACACTGAGGCTCAGATGTGATTTAACCAATGTTCACTGCAGCATTATTCACCATAACCAAGAGGTGGGAGCAATCTCGCTGTCCGCTGACAGGTGACTGGGGGAAAATGTGGTATAGCCACGCAAGGGAATATTATTTGGCCTTAGAAAGAAGGAGATGCCTGTCACACGCTGCACCATGGATGAACCTGGGGGACAGGATGCCCAGTGACATGAGCCAGGCACAGAAGGTCTAATACTGTGTGATTCCTCTTATATGAGCTATCTAAAGTAGTCAGCCTCTTAGAACAGAAAGAGGAATGGTGGTTGCCAGCGGGAGAAGCAATACGAGAGTGTCGAGGCGGTATAGACTTTCAGTTTGCAAGATGAAAAGCTTCTGGAGATCCGCCGCACAACAAAGTGCATACAGCTAACACTACTGTACACTTAAAAATGGTTAAGTCTACTTTGAGATTCAATGTAGCAAAACATAGTTAAGATGGTAAATTTTATGTTTTGTGTTTTTTATCACAGTTACAAAAGAAATGATGTGATCTACCCAAAGATAGGGCAATGCAGCGGTGGAGCCAGGGTTTGGAGCCATCCCTCGCCCCCGCCCCACCTTTCTCACCTGCTTGTGCTACCTTGGGTAGGTTTTCTGTCGCTTGCAAACGGAGTCCCTGCTGTATTAATACCAGGGTTTTAGAGTTGGAGACTGATCAGCCCTAAATCTTGGGAGCACACGGGGAGTAACAATGTCTCTTCTACTCCGCTCTGCGGTAGAGCAGGGCCCTGTGGGGTAGCTAAAGATAAACACCTCCAGGCCAGCAAATCCTTCCACAACCAATTCTCCTCTCTGCTGGTGGGGTATCTAGACCCCAGAACCTGCTTGCTCTAGAAAGATGCTCTAGACCCCGCCCCCTCGGTGGAAGTGGCTGGAGTATGAGTGTATGTCCCCTTCCAGAGATGAGGACATGGAAGTTCAGAGAGGTCATGGTATTTGGCCTCAGTCACAGGCTTGCCTGGGACTATCCGATCCCAAAGGCACTACCTTTACTCATTGTAACACATCAATTAAGTCAGCTAATAACAAAACACCTCGCTGTAGCAGATACTGGGCTTGATGAATAAAATGACATAGTTCAGAGAATAAATTGTATTGCTTTTCACCAGGGGAAATTTTTTTGAGAAACTGTGGGCTCAGAAAGTGTGACTATAAATTAACTGAGAAACCAAACTCTTTTCTTAATAACTCGATGGATTTTTTTTTTTATCCATTGCAACACGTTCAACTCAATGCTAGCCTGTTAATTTAGCAACACAATAACTAAGTAGAGAGAGCAGTTGCTGTCTCTCCCACAAAACCACTTGTTTCAAATGGGAACACTAAGACGTCACACAATTCAATTTCCATTAAACATGTTTTTGAAATGTGAGGAGAACTCATACAATAGCATTTGTATACTCTGGAAAAGTGAGAGCCACACCTACACACTTTCAATTACAAAATGTCACACTGGAATATCTAGCGTGTTGGCATTTTGGTGGCCTGCAGTTGAAATTGACCTTATAACAAAACCTAATCTCTGTCAGACATTAATTCTTAACACAATGTATTTCGAACAATCAGAAGAGCTAATGTCATTCATCCACTCCCTCGCGCGCACTAATCCAATCAACGAAAGTTAATTGGTTGCCTGCTACAGGCAAGGCGCTGTATCATTTAGGTATCATTTCTCTTAGGAGAAACTAAGTCGGATGAAACACTGCTCTCTTTCTGAAGCTCATAATTTAGTAGCAGAGGACGATGAAGGGGAAAATGGGAGAATTGAATGTACTGGGCTGCTTTACCCATCATGTGAATAATTTCTTAAAATAACCCAGCAAGATATGTATATAAAAATATTCCAGTTCAGTGTCAACAACGAATTCTGTGCAAGACAGAATGGAATCATGACTACTTTGCCTGTGACTAAAGTTCCGGAACTAGATAGTGGTGGTGGCCGCACAACATTGCAAATGCACTAAAAGGCACTGCACTGGTTACTTAAAATGGTTAATGGTTACTTTTGTTATGTGTACCTCCATAATAATAAATTAAAAAGAGAATTAGGGAGCTGGCCCTCTTCTTTTGAAGATGGGCAGAGAGAGGAGCAGAGAAGGGCGTGTGGAATCGGGACACACTCTGATCGTGCAGACCTGTGTCTGAATCCCTGCCGGCTGCAGGCTCTGTGGCCCCCACGGTTGTCACTCGACCTCTATCTGCTTCATTCATTCACTCGGTGGATAATATCATACCCCTGTCATACACCAGGCACTATGTGTACATGCTGGTGATGAACGGAGAAAGAGACCACGATTAGTATCTTCTCCGTATAGGGCTAACAGTCTAGTAGCCTGCCTCAGTTTCCTCAAGGCAACATGGGGGACAGTAATGGTTCCTGCCTCGCCTTCTTACAAGGATTAAATGAGATAAGTTGCATAATGCACCTGGCCCAAAGTAAGGATTGATGGTGGTGATACTGCTGCTGCTGTTGTTGCTTAATGTTACAGAAAGGTCTAGAACTCATCTGTTCCACTGACTTTCTCATACTGCCCCTGTGCCAGGAGCAGCACCCGGACCCAACTTAAAAGAAGCTAATCTTCTGGGTTCTGTGTGGCGCTGGAATAAACATCACATCACGTGTCGGTGCTAATCAGTGTGGACTGACTATAACAGTGAGCTGAAAGATTTTATGGCCTCTTTCAGGCTCTGAGGGAGAAAGAGTTGTGATGGACTAGTGATGTCTGTCACGTGCACCATAATAGACAGTAAACATGTGTGCGTTGTGCAGGGAGCTGGCACCTGAGCTTGGGCTTCAGAACGTAAAGCTTGGGTCCTGGTGGATCCCTGCCTGGGGGCAAGTCCCTAACCCACTCTGGTCCAAGTTGCCATCATCTGTCACCTGGATGAAGGCAATGATATCCTAAATGGCTTCCTCTCTTGCTTTCCTTTTATCCATTTTCTACTCAGTCCCAACCTTTTCAAGAATAATTCACTGCACTTAAAAAACAAACAAACAAACAAAAAACCTCAATCACACATAGAAAAATGTGAACCCTGAGAGAGTGGGAATCATTTTTTTGTTGTTGTTCACCATGTTGTCCAGAGCACAGGACAGTCCCTTGAGTTAATCTGTGTGTTGAATGAACCAACATGCCTGAGCTGTGAAACGGGGACAGCAACACTCATCTTTCAAGGTAGGTCTGAAGAGTCATGTTACAATTCATAAGCATGTCTGCAGCTTGTGTTAAAGCAACAATTTCACAATAATACCCCCTTACCCACCAAATCCCAAGTCATTGCACACATGTCTACCATTGCCCTCGTTCGGCTCAGATATCGAAGACCACACACCTCTCCCGGTCGCAGTGCCCTCATGTGCAAGACGTGGATGTTGAATCAGGTCATTTCTAAGGCCCTTTCTGACTCTGAGAATCATCTCAGAGTTGACAGCTTGCTGAGAATCCGCCACGACATTGTTCCCAACGCCTGCTCCCGCTCAGAAGTGGCATTAGTGCCTCCCTATTGTTTCC